AAGAGCGGAAATTTAGTTAAGAGATAAAAATCTCCCAAACCAGGAAGGAGTAGTTAGTTAATTCAAAATAAAAACAAGGGAAGTCAGAATAACTGAGACAGGCTAGAATATGGGAAGTTCTCATGCAAGTTAATACACCGAATAAAGTTTATTTATTGCATTATGCTCAGTACACTACAAACTACTTAGAGGGAAGGAAGCTGTTATGAATAAATCTCTAAAGTCTTTAGCACATTTATCAAAAGCATGGCCTGGCAAATGTGGAATGTGCACAAAGCCTCAAGGGACTATTAAGGCCATAAGTGTGCTGTATGTTCCACTTCACTTAAAAACAGAAGCAACAAAAATAGCGTAATAATGAAACTGAACATCTTATTGTCATCCATACCAGTTACCAAAACTAGATGCACTGCTCCCTTCCTTAACTACTTCCCCTGGCTGTCTCGAAATTCTCTGTTACAAGAATATTTAAAAATCGGATGACCGTTTTGTCGTCTTTTCATATCACATAATAACTAAAGAATTTTGCTCCAGCTTTCCTAAAACTTACCTGGTAACTGGATGAAACAGAAACACTCAGCCCAAAGGTGGATGTTTCACAGAGGTGAGGCAGATGTTACACTTATACTGGCATAAGTGACCAGAAACAAGTCTAAACCCATAACCCAACAAAAGTCCAGTGCACATAGCCCAGTTTAAAACTGGCGGAATCTGGTCTAAGATAGACCGGGATAGATGTAGTATCAGACCCAAGTGATTTAGGTTAGACTGGTCTATCAAACTTCTGTACCAGATCCTCTCCCAACTCAAATTAGGTTGCTGTCAACCAGCATCCCCGGCTGCTTTGTGGCACCCCACTAACCCCCCTCACAGGGAGGCGCGCTGGAACTCAGTTGTGCTCAGCTGCTCCGAGCTGTCCGCCACAGGCAGGGGGAAGGGAAGTAGGGAGGGAGGGACGGGGCGCATCTGTAGCTCAGTATTTCTCTGTCTTTATACAATGCCCCTAGGCCTGTAAGCGGGAGGGAGGGGTTTGCAGAAGGATGGATCAGGCTTGTTGGAGCTGTGGGAATGGAAGGCGCCTGACAGTAGGTGCCCGACAACAGGTGCAGGTAGCCCCAGGCGCCATGGGGAAAGAGGTGCTCTGAAGGTGGAGGCAGCAGGCACCCATCATGATTACAACAATCGTGATTGCAGCAAGCGTGGCAGGTGCCTGCTGCTGCTGCCTGGAGTTGACCAGAGCTTTGAGAGGCCCAATCCTTCCTTCTATGGATGCTCCTTCCCCTGTCACAGTGCAGGGCTGCAAGTACCTGCTGCTGGGTGGTTTGGTGGAGGGAGGGGGTCTGAAAGGGCTGTCTCGCTCCAGTCCTGCTCCTTGGGGCTTCACCAGCTCACACAGGACTGGAGCCAGGCTTGGTTAAGCAGGATTGCCTCTGCTGCGTGCCAGCAGTTGCCATGCCTGTGGCTGCTGCTGCGGGAGAAAGGGGGAGGGGTGCTAGGCTGTGCCCAGTAGCCATTCAGGGATGGCCTGGCTGGGGGAGCCTGCTGGGAGTGTCCCCAACCATGATTGCTGACCGGGGGTGAGGAAGGGGGGGTCCCCCAGTGGCTGATTGCCAAGCCCCAAATCACCAGTGGCGGAACCAGAAGTGCACTTCTGGTTTTGTGGCTGGTGTTTCCAGGGGGTGCATGGCCAATCTCAGGGGGTGCATGTGCACCCCCTACATATCACCAATGTGTTGGCCTCAGTCCAGGCAGGCAGCCTGCGTGTGTGTCCCCCCCGCCAAAAGGACAAACACATATTCATTCTCTCCTGACCTAACCTAGAGCACTTAGAGTAAAGCATGAAACTTAGATCACGTCAATGTTTTGAAGGCCTAGACTTAGCCTCACTCATCAGCAATTAAAAACTGAATATTAAACTGTTCTGAAACAGTAACAGGGATTATAGGTGGCAAGTAGTGCAATGCAGTGATTCAGAATATGATGATGGAAGGCCTATATGCTTTCCAGGTCCCCAACTCCTCTGCTTCCCTTGCCCTGACTCCAAGCATCCAACCATTTTTTTTCCCCAGGAAACAAACCCTTGTATTTTTTAAATAGAAATTTGAATAAAGGACAATGCTGACTCCATTAAAAAAATACCTAATGTTACCTCAAAGCCTGCCCTCCCTGCCACATCTTTATTTTTTTGTGTGATTTATAGCATCCTAGGTCAGGGCTGTCCAACAGAAGGTTCATGGCCTGCATGTAGCCCTCAAATGTTTGAACTGTGGCCTCTGGGCTCCTGGTCTGACTGGCACTCCCCACTTTGCTCTTTACTGCTACTGCCATGAGTCTCCAAGCTCCCTCTTACTTCTTCCAGCTTCTGCTGCCTGTTCCCATCCCTGACCCTTCAGAATGTGGACAGCTTTGCCTTAGTTTAGTTGCATAATTATTTAATCAGGTCTGTGAATCTGCATTTGATTGGCCAAAATAGTTCATTAGGATAGCTCTATTTAGAAAACAACCCAGGACTAACTGCAAGATCGTGATTCTGCATATATGCTGGTAATGAGACAATAAGACTTGCTGGCTCATAACTTCTCTTCTGAACACCACTGGTTTAGCTAAAGAGGCAGCATATTGACATTGTCCAGTTTAAATAAAAGTGCCATCGCACTAGTTCTTCATTTAAAGTTACACAAGTATCAGTGTAGATAACATGAGAATAGATCGTGAAGTGTTACGACTTGTCTATACTTACTGAATATTTAAAATTGAAAAGCAACTTAGTGATTGTGAAAGGTATAGGGCTTACTTTTTCGAAAAAGGACTTCTTCATTTTATGAAGCACAGGGAGGGCTTTGGTAGCAGTAGCATATTCTCAACATTGCCCAAATATGATAGATTAAGTCTGGAGAGTATAGCTTTAGTGTCCACATTCTCTCTTCTCTGCTGTCTCTGCCACGTTCGACAACAAGCATGTCAACTGGTGCCAAATGTGGTAGGGTTTTTATTATAGGGATGCATGATAACTGGAATTGGATTAAGTGCATTAACTCACTGCATGTTATTTAAAACCAGTCCATGGTTGGACTGGTGTCTTTCAGTCACAATCAACAAGCATCTGAACTGATGATTTAGTAGCCAAAACTAGATGTCTGTGCAGGTCACTCAGCAAAATCAAGGCATTCCTCCCAAGCGCAGAAGCAGCACGTGCATTTGATTTAATCACCGTGGCTGCTGAGGGACCCAGCACAAAAAGAATAGCTTTTAGGAATGACCATTTATGAATTATTGAAGGAACACGACAGTGGTGTTAGCATGGGACTAACAAAGACCTGCCAAATTCCACTCCTGTGTCCACCACTGATTCACTGTGGGCCACTGGTTAAGTCACTCAATTGCTCAGTGCAGTTTTGTTACTTGTGTATTGGTGATAACATTGTAGCATATAAGAATGTTCTTCAGTTTAGTTAAATACTTGCAGAGTGGTTTGAAAAACTAAAGCACTGAATACAAACAACTGTTGTGGTGCTTGGAGACTATGCACTATAAAGACTTAGATAAAATACTTCCAGATTCCTTGGTTTGGGTTATAAAGAGTTTTGGATGGATTATACTGCTGTTAATTTACCTTTGCAATCTGCACACACCAGTTGAGAAGGTACTGGGAGCCAATGTTGTCCTTGTGCTCTCGGATGTAGTCAAGGAGGCAGCCGTACGGCATAAGCTGTGTGATAAGCTGGACGGTGGAAGTAAGGCAGATTCCCAGCAAGCGGCATACATGAGGATTGTCAACGCTAGCCATTACGTAAGCTTCCTGACCCGAAAAAGAGAAAACAGAATGAAACATTCCCTTACGGATGGCAGAAGTATCTGGATGGAAGAGGCAGTATTAAAAAAAAAAAAAAAAAAAGTCTGACATTTGATAAGCTACAGAAACTTTGTGTAAAAGTTAGCCACACAATGGCCTAATACATTTCTTCCACTGCACTGGGAGATCCCAAATCTCAATACTGAAGCACCATTCAAAACAGCACCAAAGCAGCCAAATTTCCCTGTATCTTGTACACCAAGCTGTTGTGCTCAGTACAAATGTCCATACATGCAGAAATTTCAGAGGAGGTAAATAATTTCAATTTTTGTGAGAGCTGACAGGTGCCTGACAATTTTTAAAATCCCAAAACCTATTAAGAACCTAACTGAGAATGAGGAAGTCTAATTTTAAACAACCAATCTGAAAAATCTTGCCAGATTAGTAAGGCTTTTTGTTTCCATGTATTATGTCAAGATGAGTGACATAATCAAAGAGTTTGTATTGCATTTCCTTAGAGTTGGGGCTAGGCTTGGTTTTTATAAATTGGTTAGTGTGGGCATCCATTAATATTACCATATGAAAATATTTAGCTGCATGCAATAACTAGTAACGGATTTAAATTATTAACATAATTTGATTCTCATTTATCTAGGTGTCCTTTTGGTCTGTCTTTATAATTTTTTTGTTTTGTTTTGTGGTTTGTGTGTGTGTGGGTTTTTTGTTTTTTTTTTAAGACCTATATTTTTGCAGGTTCAATTTGATACCTACAATCAGCTCTACGCACAGAGCTGAAAGACGGCCTAGCTGGGGGAGAAAGGAAATTGGGTCTTGGGGCATTTTTATATGTGCAAGCGCTGCAGCACCGGGTGCTTTGAAAAGTGCCTGGTACTACGATGCTTACAGTTGTATAAATGGTGAAATGTACATCAGCACAAAGAAAACAGCAGCAGCCCACATTGAATTAACAACACCGTGGAGGTGCTTTAGTTCAAAAGCGCACCGCTGCCATTTTCTCTGCGCTGACGCACATTTTGCCACATATAACTGCAAGCTGCACAGCACGGTGCGTGTCATCTCCCATGCAGAACAGACTCGATTAATCAAGTCTGCTCCAAAGCAGCAGATCTCTGGCTGAGGGTACTAAAGGTATGTGTATAAATGCCCTTAATGTTTAGTTATAGTATTGTTTTAATATTATTTTGTTCTTGATCTCCAGTATATTGCTTTTGCTTATTCTTTTTTATATCAATTGCTTGAAAATTAATTGAGCAGGAAATAAATGGGAATTTCTCTATGTAACGGACCTTGTAAATCAGCATCTGGAATGACATCAACTAATCACTCCTTGACAGGTCAGTATTAAGCTAGCAACCCAAAGCAAACAAAAATAAGTCTCAAGCAAATCCCAGGATGTCATTCTCCCCTTGTACTCTGCCTTAGTGAGGCCGCAGCTGGAGTACTGAGTCCAGTTTTGGGCTCCCCAATTCAAAAAGGATGTGGAGAAGCTTGAGAGAGTCCAGAGAAGAGCCACACGCATGATCAGAGGTCAGGGAAGCAGACCCTACGATGACAGGCTGAGAGCCCTGGGGCTCTTTAGCCTGGAAAAGCGCAGGCTCAGGGGTGATCTGATGGCCACCTACAAGTTTATCAGGGGTGACCACCAGTATCTGGGGGAACGTTTGTTCAGCAGAGCGCCCCAAGGGATGACGAGGTCGAATGGGATGACGAGGTTTGTGACGAGGTCACAAACTACTACAAGATCGTTTCAGGCTGGACATAAGGAAGAATTTCTTTACTGTCCGAGCCCCCAAGGTCTGGAACAGCCTGCCACCGGAGGTGGTTCAAGCACCTTCATTGAACACCTTCAAGACAAAACTGGATGCTTATCTTGCTGGGATCCTATGACCCCAGCTGACTTCCTGCTCTTTGGGCAGGGGGCTGGACTCAATGATCTTCCGAGGTCCCTTCCAGCCCTAATGTTTATGAAATCTATGAAATTTCTATGAAGTCGTAAAGGAAAGATGTGCTCTTTATAGAGGCTTAGGAAATGCAATGCAGTAGCAGTTAAATCATCATCCAATAAGCTTTTCACAGATGTCACATAGCTGGCAGAAGACTACTGTAAAAGACATTTAAGCAATGATGTTTAAAAAAAAATATACAACACCCCAAATGCTTGAGCAATGTTTGGCTTTGTCAACCACATCAGTGTTTGCCATTTCTAGCTCAAATGCAACAACAATGCTGAGACGTCTGCTTTAAAGGTGCTAATTATAGTTTTTTGCTCCTCATAGTCTGGTTCCAGGGTCCCTGGACAGTAAGGTTACAGAAGAGTGCCACAGAACTGGATGAGTAACAATCACCTTACACTATGATGAAATCTCCAGGTTAGTTTACAAATTCTAAAGAAAATGTGCAATTTGCTATTAAAATGAACAAAGTCTGGAGCACTTTCTCCAAGAGACATGTGGTTCCATCCATCATACATGCTATAGGGTGCTTTCTTGTGCAAGGAGGCCGAGTTATATTAATCCCTATATAGTCTTTGATACTACCCAGTTCTGACAGTGAAGAAAGAAGAAAGTCTGTTTCATGCGCCATTTCCTGTTAAAGTTCAGATGCATATTGTATTAATTTTTAGTTGTGTGAAAAAATGCAAACTCAGAGCTGTTCTCATTGCCCATCTGCTGCACAGCCTGCAAAGATCTGACCTGAAGACTGGGAAACTGGTAACCAAATGTGTTGGGTGGGTATGGGCCACACAGGGTATGGGCCACACAGAGTATGGAGCTCTTCCAGGATTTGACAGTGCCTAGCGAATTTGACACAGCAAAGTAAAACAAGGCATAGCTTTCTTGAAAAAAAAGTAATCATTGTTCAGTCATAGGTCCGTTAAATATTTTAACAAATTAAAGCTGGTCTTTGTTTCAACTGTTTATCTTGGAAATCTCTGAAGTACACTCTGACCTGCGCCAAGTATGCTTGGTATTCAGCAACAATCTCCTGAATTAGCCCTACCCTAATAAAGCCAATGGGAGTTGCAGTTGGAGGGTCAGCTGGATTATATGAACTAATTCTTTTTGACTTGCTGTATACTTAACTAGCTGTTCGTTTTTTAAAAATGATTAGTTAGACATTATTTCTGAAGCTTCAGTGATCTTCAGGAGTCAGTTGTTTAGTTCACTGAGTCTTGATTCTCTCTATCTCCCCCTCTCCTTACCTCCCTCTGTATCTTTTCTTTTTCTGTGACATGAGGAACGAATTCCACCAACTAAGCCATTTAAAAAGTAAACGCTACTAAAAACAGCAAGAGCTGTTTGCTAAATCTCCTACTTCAACGGGGGAAAAAAGATCCTGTGGAGATATCTGAAATGCTTTAAAAAGAAGAAAATAAAATACTTTGATATCTCTGAAGAGCACACATTCCACTCAGCTACTGTCCCACCATGGGAACAGCTTGAAGGCAGGATGCAATAATTTAGGCTTACTGATTAACCCTTGCTTTACTTTACATGAATGTAATACAATTAGGTTCAAATTTGTCTTATTCTTCCCACAACTGTTTGCAATCAGTTTTTTAATAGCTTACAATCTTCTTTATAAAACAAGGCTAAATAGATTTATGTATATTCATGACATATGATGTCTAAACTACACAGGCATATGTGTATGTGCGTGCATGCATGTGTGCGCACACACACACGCACTAGCATATGCACACTGTCTCTCTCTCCCATGCTGTTTGCTGAAGAGTGGGGATCTAACTTCAGTTATAAAAGGAGCAGAAAAGAGGTCAGCTACTTCTCTGATGTTTGCTCTTCAATCTGCAAATTCCTCCTGTAGGTTCAAGGGCCCATGGCTGTAGGAAAGGAGGTACAGAACTAGAGTACGCAGGCAAGCAACTTATTTACCATATTTTGACATTTGGAAACTACACAGAAGTCAAAACAACCTGGGGGTGCATTCTTTTTTCCTGCAGAGCCTCACTATACTATTAAGCTCTTTATTTCAGGTGATCAGGGTGCACCCATATAATGGGCACCACCTGTGCCTCAGGGAGCTGAGCAAAATTAGCAGTGGACCCCAGAGCGAAGTTGTAGACATGGGGGCTATATATCTGTACTTTTTCCTGAGTTCTAAAGACCAAGGGGCCAAACTCTTCTCAGCACCTTCATCAGATTAAGGATGGGGGAACAAGGTTTACCCCCATCTCAGGGCAGCAGCCCCAGGAAGCAGATGATCATTCTACGAATGAAAGTTTATCTTCTGGTCTCCTGCTGCTCTGCAAGGAAAGTGCCTCATGCAAACAAAACCGATCTTGGTGCAGCATCCTTCCCCTAACATGAAGGTGTAGACAGCTCCTGAGAGGGTGGAAGAGTATTTAAACAGACCAGCTGTGCTTGTGAGCCACGGAAAGCTGGCTCCTGTCCAAGTACATTTGAAGCATCATCCATACAAGTCTCTTATTCTTAAAGTTACGGTTTTAATACTTCCTTTAGCACTATGCAAGATCGTGCATGAAGGCAGCTGCGGGAGACAGTGTTTCCCAGCAGAGTGGCTGCAGAGTTTATGCAATCCTGCTATATGGGAAGAAGGCTTTGGCTGGTGTGGTTGAGGGCTCACCAACTTCTCCCCACCCAGCACCCTGAAATCCCCTGCAGAGGGACTCTGGTAGAGAACAGTGCTACAGCAAACACCTCAGTGCCATAAGCACAAAATTTCTTTCCTGCATACACACATAGCAAAACCATGGTCTTTTGTTCTCTTCCCTGTTTTCCTGCAAGCTTTACTGCAGTGACTACATAGTTTCTTGGCTTCTGATGGTTACTAAACTATAATATCAGATAACTTCACCAGTTTTTCTTAATAATGTAATTAACTGCAATCTATTCATGTATTTCAGGGAAGCTGCTGTTCACAAATGTTGACTGGTTAACAGCGACTACTATATCTCAAAACCATAATATTGCAGGGGGCTGCAAGGCAGATGCAAAGGAAAATCAGTAGCATAAACTATCCTGATGGTAATGAAGTCACACAGTTAACACAGTTAAAAAGCCCAGCGTAGAGAGGAGTAGTGGAGTGGAGAGACAAGAACGACAAACTATACCACAGTATTGTTCTCTAGTGCTTTGTCTATTATTATTTTGAAAAATCTCAAGTGACTGAACTTCTATACTTTCTCTTAGGTGTCTAGGTGATTGTGTTATAGATACTGTTGGACGTTTTTGTGAATACTCAGACTTTTACCTTTACCTTTTTACATTGCATTCCAGTCTTGCTTGTGCTATTTTAAGGTAGGATTTTCAAAATGCACCCAGTTTTCTGCCCCCACTGCAATCCATCATAAAAATTCCATTGACTGATTAAGGAAGCATAGACAGCTCTTTTTTCTACTTCCCACTCTTATGCCATTTCCTCCTGTTCAGCATTGATACCCCTCAATTATTTGCACACTTGCTCTTCTCCATACCCTGATGTAATCCCGAACTGGCAATTGGAAACATATGAAACATCCACGTTGCAATAACAAAAAATTCTGCGAACTTGATGGAAATGTAGAATTGTCGTCGTCGTCGTCAATCTTGTGTACATTTCAGGAAAACACTTTCTGGGCCGATGGGAACAATCACTACCAAGATCAAGAAAACTTTACAAAATAAAGGCAAACGCTTACATCAAGTATTTCCTTATTGGCTTTTGGCGACGTAGCCTCTCTCAATTCCTTAATAGCAACAGGAATTTTAACTCTCTCTCCTTCAGGAATCCAGAGTCCCTGTAAGATAAGAAAGGTTGCTAAGGTACATATCTCACTGGTTTGCTATCGTGATTAAATATACCACCATGTAAAAGGTTGATGCAGTCTAAGTAGATTTAAATATTCTAAGCAGAAATAAGGAGAACCTACAAAGATTGTGTAGATATATACAGCAGTCAGTGTCTCTGGTGGGCTGCACAGCATCTTCTTAATTGAGCAGTATCTCTCAATCTCATGCCTTGTTTTCAAAAACATGCATATTCAGTCACCTTGATTCATATGTGCAAAAAGTACAGAAAACTCATAAATTTCCATCTGTGTTGACAATTACCTAATCAGTGCTAACAATTATGGCAATTGGACATGCAAATTTGACATGACTGAACACTACTAGTCTCCGCTGAACAAGTTTTCACTACATTGACTAAAGCGTCACTTCCAATTTACAAACTGCGGCATGAGAAAAACTGGGATTTTCTCCTATGAAACTAGATACCAGCTAACCTGATGGGAGAGTCATATGACATTCCAATTTTTAGCATTAGTTTTCAGCACTAAATTCATGTTACAATGGTTTCTTGTTCTTAATTGATAGCATCAGGTTGCCAGTTAAGTAGAGGGCTGGCCAAGATTAAAGGGGGGGGGGGGGGGAAATCAATGATAGTACCAAAGAGATTTAGAAGCAAAACTGACAATTAAAGATAATGCAGCTTGTGTTCCTAAGGTCCTTAAGACAATGTGAAAAACTGTCCCAGTGTCTAAAATTAAACATGGATAAATTATATCTTATACTTTCAGTTCCAAAAGTAAAATGTGAACCCTAAAGCTTACTTATTGGGTAGGAAATGTTTTAGAGAGATCCTCTCAAGTAGAAGAGGAACAGAGAGAGCAAAAAGGGAACAAAAAACAAATTCTCCCTTTCTATGCTCCTGTGTAGTTCTTTGGAATCTAAAAATAAATGATCTATGAATTAAAAAAAAGGAAGAACTAAATGATCTATGAATAAAAAAAAGGAAGAACTAAAGTATGGCTACTAGGAAGGCCAAGGCAGAGATGGAACTCAGGCTAGCGTCCAGTATTAAGGACAACAAAAAGTCCTTTTTCAAGTACATTGGGAGCAAGAAGAGGGCACCAGGCAATGTAGGGCCCCTGCAAGATGCAATCGGTAGTCTTGTGGCTACGCCAGACAAAAAAGCTGATATTTTTAACAGTTTCTTTGCCTCTGTTTTCTTGAACAGGGACCAGGATATCCCACCTACCAGAGGTAGGTACAATCTTGGGGATAGTTCTGTCAGGCCTTCAGTCACTGCAGATGTAGTTAGGGATCTTCTGAAAGGGCTAGACATTTTTAAATCTGCAGGTCCAGATGCCCTCCACTCAAGGGTGTTGAAGGAGCTAGCAGGGGTCATCGCGGAGCCCTTGGCCCGGCTGTATGAGCTTTCGTGGTCATCTGGCCAGGTGCTGGGGGATTGGAAACTGGCTAATGTGGTCCCAATTTTCAAGAAAGGGAGGAAGGAGAACCCAAGTAACTATAGGCCTGTAAGCCTCACCTTGGTGCTCGGGAAGATGTTGGAGAGAATCATCAAGGAGCACATCTGCGGGGGGCCAGCAGGGGAGATAATGCTCAGGGGCAACCAGCATGGGTTCATCAAAGGCAGGTCCTGCCTGACCAACCTGATTGCCTTTTACGACCAAGTAACTAAATCCTTGGAGGATGGTGTTGCCGTGGACGTAGTCTTTCTAGACTTTAAGAAGGCCTTTGACACTGTCTCT